ACATCTAAATAAATTAACAAATATAAAATTATAGTCCATAACTACAGTAATGATGGATATTGGCTAGCAGTGGAATCCAGGATACCCATTTCGTCCTATTCGGGACTTGTCATCTGGATGCACCTGCCTCCCAGTGAGTGATGTTGTTCTCGACAAGTCCCAAAGAGGACGAAACAGGTATCCTGGATTCCAATGCTAGCCACTATCTGTCATTACTACCATTAGAGCATAGGTAATATCGAGGCATCCACAATGGAGCCCATATGCCATGAGAGACTGATCAATTCGGTCAAATCAAAGATGGGATAATACAACCAATAGTACTAAAACAGTCCATAAATGTTTATAGAAACCCCTTTTTAAATAGAATTTAGAATTCCTTCATGATGGAAAGGATTACTTCATATTGGTATGTTAGCTTTCAGCTCTATGGAGTCACATATAGTAATCCAGACTGGTTGTATTTTTCACGGTAAATCAGCATTCTGATTGATTCATTCGATACTCAACTATCTACAACAAGTTGTATAAATCTGACTTCTGGAACCAGCTTAGGTTATTGGCCTCAAAGTAATGAAGTTACAGTCATCCGTTTAGAAAAAGCTAGCACATCCTCCTTCTTTCTCTTCATCAATCACTTTCCATTACTTTGGATCCTACATAGTTCAGTCATAAACTGTACCAGTGTAGTGCACATAGTTATTCCAACTTGTTCTATATACATCTTTTAGATAAATTCCACCGACGGTTTCGTTTTAATAAGTCTAACATTATTGTTATTATTTATTATTTATCCCTTGGGTTCTTAATGGAACATACGGCACGTCTCCATTCCACTCTCTTCTCTGAAATCTTTTGAACCTGGCTCCACGACAGCCCACAAGCTCCCATTTCTTCCTCACACCATCTCCTCCTTCCCGTCTGGGTTCCACTCGAGTGCCTGCCCTGACGCATGATGTCCCCAGTCTCCCTTCTCAGTGTATGCCCAATCCAATCCATCTCCACTTCCTTCCAGTGCATATTTGTTCAGCGATAGGTTCTTGGTTGGTTCGCTCCCAGAGTTCCTTGTTGCTTATCCTCATTATTCTGGCCATCTGATCTTCAGTATCGAGACAGTGTAGGCAATTGTTGATGAATGTCTGTAGTTTGTTGGAAATGCTTTACGTGACTTGCCAAGTCTCTGAGCCATACAGAAGCACTGAATTGACTGGCATTAGTGTTGAAAATCCGGATCTTGTTCTAACATTATCTCCAGGCAATTTCAAAATGTTAAAAATTCCCATTATGAAAATTATAACAAAACATCTGAACGAACAATATTCTTTTCACTTTGGCTATCTGAGTGAGATAGCCGTGGATTAGAAGACTTTTATTCTTCATACTAGGTGATGGTTGACAGTGAAGTGGAAATTTGGGCTACTGGAAGATTCGAACCAGCTGGATACTCTACCAAGACCTGATTGTTGGTTATTTCAGATAGTCAAACTGACAATCATTGTGATGCCTCCCTTCTCTAATTCGAGTAAATTTAGGTTTGGATAAGAAGTCCTAACTTGAGAGCCAGTGTGAGTATAGTTAAACGATAGTAATGTATCATGAATCCACATGACAGTCGGGTGTTCTAACCCTTTGGTAGAGTGCCAGACCAGAAACTCAGTGGCTGATGGTTCGAATCCTGCCGTGGCCCAGGTTTTCATTTCACCTTCAATAATCACTCAGTATCAATATTGTTTTCAATAGCATCTAATCAAGCTTAACTCTGATATACGCTGTTTTTGATATATATGAGTCACTTAAGGAAATTTTTGAGTTAACGATAACAATGATGCTGATCTTGTACCTTAAAATAATAAAACTAGTGGTAATATAAGGGGTAATACGAGTGACCAGAGTGGTACGACGATGTAAACAGATGTTCAGACAGACAGACAAAATAGATCAAAGCCTGGGAAAGGACAGTACGGTTGCGTATTACTGCAGGATACAGGCAGTGAGTAAGTAAATAAGATTTGAATGTAAATATAGTCGATAAGCTTTCCTGTGTCAGGCAAAGGACAAATAATGATTGATGGTGGCTTGGAATGAAGTCCAGCAATTGTGTTTCGTTCTATTTGGGACTGGAACTAAGGACCATCTGCTTCATACGGCAGACTATCATCCACCAGACCACTCACGATAGCCACTTCTTGTGTGATGGGAATAATTTCAATGTTGTTGCTTGTATTATCCCGTCATTGGGTGGACCGAACTGATCGGTTTCTATTGGCATATGAGCTCTTATGTGGATACCTTGATATGGCTAACAGCAGGAACCCATATGTCAATACAGACTGATCAAATTCGGTCCAATCAACGACGGGATGACAGAAATAACAACATTAAAAGACAAGTTACCTAATTTCGTCACTTCCATATGTGTTTATCAGTTTAACTGCTTCCATGAAAACAGTTAAATCAAGCGTACAACTGGGTAACTTAAACAACATATTACAGAAGATCTACCTTCGTGGCTGGAAAAACGACACGTCAAACGAATAGGAATCTCTATTTTGTCATATCTACTCGATAGTGACCATAGTGGAAATACAACGCAGGCGTTCAAAGTGATCTACGGCATCCCATCAAACCTCCCGATGGAGTTCGAACACGCTTTTTACTTATAGCTGAGACAATAGGAACTGAAATGAACAATTGAAAGCTTTGTTTTGAGAAGAAATTTGATCAGCCTTTATCCTTACCTCACCTAGAGAAGACTTTATGAATAAGTATACTTATGAATTAACCCTCCTACCATATCTATGGTCTTCAGCCTAGATATGCAGCTAATTATGTCGGTTAAAGCTATACAAGTAAGTAAAATACGTTTGTTTAGGTTACCGATACGCTTGAGATAGAATTACACTCATATGAAAGAACAGTACTGGGAAAACTACTGTCCGTAAATCATCATCCTCGGATCCATTAATAATGACCATTAGCTTATACTAGGAACTATGGTGTCAATAGATGAAATCATGTTCAGAGTACAGCTATGCCTAACTTCTACAATCTTTAAATTTTAGAATGAAATATACTATTTTTAAGAATGCATAAAACCAGTTGCCATGGTATCATCAGTATTCTTCATTCATTTGCAGATATATTTATAGATGTTTGAAAATGGATGTCCATTGAAATATTTAGTTTTTCTCCAAAACTATCTTTCCGTTATGTAGACTGATACGTTAACAATGTTGAAATCAGAGTAAATACACAGTTTCCTTACACATATATAAGTAAATTCATTAATGAGAATTAGAAAATTATGAAGGGGAATTACTAATATTGGATTACAAAATAAAATAAAAATGAGATGGAAGTTTAGACGCTAGTTTCCATAGGAAACCTTCACACTCGAATCACTACTTGGACTTCAAATCATTTCACTCTTTATCAATTAAGTTGGCTTAATAAAATGTCTGAATAACAGGGCGAAGGAACAGGAGATCTAAGACATTAAAGTCACCTTACTCATTAACAGTTACCCTCCTAAATTAATTAATGAAAGGGCTCCTTAGTAACCGTTGGAAAAAGGTTACTAATACCTGTGACACAGGTGTTAATGGTAAAAATACTACTAGGGGCAATAGTGGCCTTACCATCAGAGGAAGACACCTCAGATACATTACGTGGGATTCTCAATAGGGTTGGAATTAGATTGGCATTTAAATCAACAAAATCACTTAGAGACAAGCTTTGTAGGTTCAAAGATCCTATTGATCCACTTAAGCAGAATAATTTGGTTTACCAAATCCTGTCGTTATAACTGTGAGGTGAAAATCTTGATCATAGTTATGCATGCAGCTACGCACGATTACACAATAGGATGGAAGAGAGTGGAAATCCTTAAAACCAACTTAGTTGTGTAAATAGGGAGATTGATAACCGAATATTTATTTATTGGATCAAAACTCAATGCATGTACATTAGAAATGACTCAGCATCTGGAAAATCCTACTACCCATATCACAAAGAAGGCGAGAGAATTAGAAGCATATAAAGCACATCTTACAGTGTTCGCGTTATCTTGATAGGATTATAGACATTAAATTATGTCTGAAACGTAATCCACTTCTACTGTGTGATACATCTAATAAATTGCCCAAAATAGAATTACATTCCACCGCGGTGCCCAAGTCTTACTCTTACATTACGGAATGATTAAGTTGATTTATATAAACTATGTTCAATATTGAACAGTTGAAACTGAAAATAAAGCAGGTAAAACAGTTTAAAGTACAATAAGATTTAACTGGGATGTAAAAATCATATATAAACAACTATCAGCCAGTAATCAGTATGATATGTGGTGGAAAAAATACTATTGCAGGGTATCAATAAAAATAATGTCAATCAAACGCGTATTGTTTACTAATGCATAATAAGAATATATTTCAAAAAATGATGCCTGTTGATTCTTTAACCAATAGGATATGAGTTTAAACGTTTGACCTTGAGTCAGAATATAGTATATATATATATATATATATATATATATATATATATATATATATATATATAGTATATGCAATATATATTAAGAATTGTGTGTGCATTTGATCTACCTATCGGCGTTGAAGAAACTATATTCTGACTCAAGGTCAAATGTTTGAACTCATATCCTATTGGCTAAAGAATCAAGCATTGGGTTAAACTTGTTAGACTTCAGCAATCAACCATGAAACAAAATCTTCTGTACTAAAAGGGTAAAATTTGTTGTTTTTTCATTAAAATAAAAAATTTCACCTCTGTAAATGTCGGTTTTTATGGATCAAGTAAAATGGTTTGACCATTCATTTGAGAAATATTGATTTACATTTTGAAGGTTTCAGGGGAACTGATTGATTTCAAAGCACTCATTCCAAATGGACATCAGCTAGAGAACTATTGAAAAAGTGAATGAAATGGATACTGATTTTATCTTAATTTGGGACTCATCAGTAGTATTATGTCAATTTGATGGCCTATAGAGATTCACTATTCTGTGCCGGCCCATCCGTGAGACCTAAGGTGAGTACTGCTATGGATTTCTAAATTCGAACAAAATAAGCGTCCACTACTCTCCGGTTTCCAATGCTTTTTATCTAGTATCAGTCTATGATAAATACTTTAAAGCTGGTACTAATGTGCACAACTATTCAGATCTAATGAATGGGTAACTGTAGTGAAATAAACACTTCAGTATCTGTCACCGTGTTAATACGGTCAGACTTTAGAAGTTGAGTGAACAGAAATGAAGATTTTTTTTAGCCTGCTTACATTTACCATGAACATGGGGATGTTTAATTTTGATGTGATTGTTAGTGTGTGTACACGTTAAGAACTAAGCCCGATACTTGAAGATATCTGAACTCAACAGATTAGACTAATGAAGCAGAGATTTTTTTGGTTGAGTTACTTTCTCTGAGCTGGATGGTAGTAATCGTGAAGCTTTCACTATTTTTCTAGACAATATCATCATCAGCACTAACTTCAATTTGAAGGGATATAGCTGTCATTGTCTCTCCGTGAGTGATTCAGTACCTCCAGCTGACGAATTGGTTTATGGTTGGTTGATTTTTTTGATTGTTGTTTCATTGGCTGCATACATATTCCTGTTGGCTGTGGTAAGGCAGATTCATGCAGAAACTATGAAAACTACTTGCTATCTATCCTAAAGAAGGACAGTTACCCACGAGACTTCATCGAAAGATACCTACCCTGTTCATTATCAACTATGAGTTTGTCTACAGAAATCCACCAGCAGATAATCCTAGCGTACATAAGAATATTTCACAGATCGTGACAAGATTAATGAGACCACTCAGAATCGATAGGTGGCTCATAAAACAACAAAATCCCTTAAAAACACATTACGCAAACCAAAGGATGCAAGCAGCCAAACAAGACAAATCAAATATCATTTACAAAATGAACTTCAACAATTGTGATTAACAATACATTGAATAGATCGGTTGGGCTCTTCGCACTGATCCCCCTCATGATGAGTTCCACCATGTAAGAAGACATTACTAAGGGTTTTCAACTGATTGCTTTCAGTTAACTCAATGTGAACAAAAATGACTACGTTGCCACCAAAACACTGGGTCGGAATCCAGTGTTCTATATTTTTACTACTTCTGTCATTTCACGATATAGCATCACTGTCATCCAATGCCATTGTTCAGTATCTCTCCTCATATCCGAGTTACTTGGCCCAACTGGTCACCAATCTTCATTAGAACTTCGAGAAAATCATCTCGAAGCAAGCCACTAGTGAACCATTGGGAACCTTAGGTTACTGGACATTAGTTGTTTCTTTTTAGTATAGGACTCCTCAGCACTGCGCACCAATGACCTCGCCATGAACTGACAGGAATAGGAAATTTGGATCATTGGATTCGGACCCAGTGCATCAATGTCAATGTGCTTGTCGCGGAATCTGCAGGTCCTGTACTCGGTCCGTGTCGTGGCCATAGGTTCTCACTGTTGAGGAGTCCTATGCTACAACGGAACAGCTACCCAATAACCTAAGGTTTCTAATGACTCTCTAGCTGATGTCAGTTCGTAATGTATATCAGCCTGAAATCAATAAATCTATCCCAGCAAGCCTTCAAATGGAAAGTTGGGTTTATCATCCACCAACTGTGATACTTAGTCCATAAAAATTTTTGAACCTTGAGCTTTTAATGATAACATGCTGACTACTTTAGTCACTGTCACTTTCTGATGGAATCTGAGTGTACAATGAATGCTACCAAGAAGTACACAGATCTTATAAACAACGCAGAAATTTTTTTAATGCAAGCAGATGCTACTTAAATGTGCGACAAATGCTAGAGAAATAGTATGTCTGATGGTAAAACTAGAGATAAAAACAACTAAGCTCATAGTTTTTTATAACCTACCAGGTGGTGGAGGTTTCTGATCATCACAACAGCATAATTTACGTGCACGTTCACATAGTGATGGTCGCATTTCCAAATTAGATACACTAAAATGAATTTTATTAGAAAGTAAACTGTTTACTTACTGCAAAATAAGTAGTATGACTTAAATCTCAAAAAGAAGTTAGTGTCAAATAAAGAAATGGGACTCCAGGCATACTTTTGATCACTACGGTGTCCAAATATTCTCTGCGACTGGGATACTGTGAAAATATCCAGTGTACCTATATGATTGACCATCAGTATAACTCTCACTGGCACACTAGGAGTAGTCCCAAGCGAAGTTAAGGCAATGCTAGATTAAGTACTCGCAGATGACCTTAATTCAACAATCCGATACCAGCCAACCCGGCCAATAGGCTATCAGGAATCAACAACGTATACTTCCTGTGTGAATAGTTCCTTACAAATAACAGGGATAACATTATAAGTCTTATTTGTAGAGTCCATGTTGTATTAAATCCACACGAAATATTCCTCATAAAAAGGAAGTTTAATGAAAGTTGACAAGCGACAAACTAAGTTCAGATGTTCGGAAGCATCAGTGTACTTATGCCTATAATTCGCCAATTCCTCCTATCTACCACGGCAATTCATAAACGCCAATGTTCTGCTTAGTATGCATTTGGTCTGTTAGGTTATATTTACCAGACAATGAGTCACTCCTTTGAATTCGTCCATCCAGTTACTGGCACTCAAGTGGATTCATTTGAAGACAAAGGAAAAGACAGAATCAATTCGTATATCTTTGAATGCAATGCTATTCAGTCATCTGGACGACTTCATGTGTTTGAACCAAACCATGAACACTTTCATGGAAAAACTAGGACAAATTTCCACAGCATATTTCTAGGAATTGTCCTGTGTAATCACATTCCATCTACATTTTGCACGCTTAAAATGATGACTGCTTTATGCTCTCATGGGGTAATTAGTTTTTCAAGGCCTTTTGTGGATTCGTTGGCTGAGATTGCTATACCCAAACTTCACCCTACTTACAAGTTTAATCTAAGAAGGTTGACAACAATAATATTGACATACTGACAGTATTATACTATCAGTTAGTCAACTCATGCATATATAGCATGCTAATTTAATTTCTGTCTAAAATTAGAAATAAAATCGATTTTTCCTAATCACTCATATTGCTCGCTAGTATGTTTCATTAGTGTGATAATGAACTGCTTTCATTTTATTTGCTTGTGATTGGCTGATTCAAGTGATTCTGCCAATTTAGTCTATATACAGACCTTGTACATGATTGGTGTTCATATACCAGCCCAGTCTTCGATTCTTAATCCACCCACACAATGAGTCACGTGGTTAGTCATCACAACCATGTACAAAAGACCACAAAGTGCTGATTTTTGATGGTATAGCAATTATTTCCCAACTATAAGTCGTACATAAATGGTCAAGGGATTAATCGAAAGCTCTTGAACCAGGCTGTCAAATAGTGGTACTGATTAGGTCGTAAGTAGAGAAACTTTAAAAATAACTAGAATAATATGACCAATCACACTTATATGAGACTGGCATTTTCCTATTTTTGGCTGATATAACATGGATAACAGAAAGGGAAATAAGAATCTCAGACAAGCATTATCGGTCGCACTATTTTATTTATTTTAAAGCACAGGCACATACATATGCATATGTTTGATGTCAAACAGTTGCCGAGCCACATCAATGTCCAGGGTTGCGATTTTTGTAAGTGAGGTTTGCAAATTCTTCAAATACAGCGTGATTTATCCATCAAATCAAGCTAACTAGCCAGATTTGGCTAGTCTAGATCGCTAGACTCTATGAGTTGATCTCATTTAGTTAGACCACTGATGTAACTGATCTACAATAACCAAAACAGCCAATTGCATGTCTCATCGTGTGGATGAATTGAGCATATGAGACTGTGAGACTACGTGCGAGACCAATCAAGTGCAAGGTGAGTGTTAAGACCAACCCAAACAAACTCATAAAAAACTAGCGGTGGGGTGAACTTAGGAGTATAAGATTGAGATGCCAGATCTATAGCTATCTTGAGAATAAAAGTATGCAGACTACAAATTATAGTCTCTAGGTGGCTATGATACCTTTTATTGAACTGCCTGTGTGTGTATGTGTGTGTGTGTGTGTAGTGTTATCAGAACTGTTGCATAACACACAGAAATTAATAAAACACTCGACTCACTCATTAGGCAATTCTCTGTCTGTAACTTCAGCTATTTCATGATCAATTTGTTCCAAGAATTTCTCTAAGTCATCAGGACTGTCATCATCTGACTTTTTCTTGCCCATTGGTGGTGAAAGATGCTCAGGAAATGTATCACCATCCATATAGACAGATCGAAAACTTACGTCAAGATTATAGTCTAAAATCTTTGAAGTTTGAAAGTCTTCATCATCATCACCGAATGGATTCATTACACATAAAGCAACCTACATATATCAGGAAAAAATAAAAAAATCCAGAATTAATTTCATTTTAATATATTAACCGAAAAGTGGAAAATTTGAATCACAGGTCGAAGATGTCACTGGTAGTATTATTCTATTCATTTTAAAAGCCATTTTACTACTTATGACTTAATTGGTAACATTATTGTATCGTTCGTTTCAAGAGCTTTCTACAAACCCCTTACGCGTTTCTGTATAATTTATAGATCAGAAACAATTGCATATTGAGTGATGTTCATCGATTATCGGGCATTATATTGCTTTTTTTTGTTTAAAATTGGCTGCTTCATATTGATAAATTATCCTGCCTTATTGTCCGGTTATTTAGTTGTATGTACACGTGAATCAGATCACTTGAAATATATGTGGACAGCCAGCAGCTGATCTTGTGTGATATTCTATGCAGTTGGGAGGGCCTAATTGTATGGTTCATCGTGCATGTAGATCGGGCAAGGAAATTAGAGACCAATCAAATGCAAGGTCAGTGTAGTAGAATCACGTGAAACAGGTAATCACAACCAGACGTAAGTATTACACATCTACGCATGTATTTGTAAGTATTGATTTAAGTTGTGTGGGCACATTTAATCAACAAACACGAAATTGCTCTACAAGGTCGCTAATGTGAATCCTATGAACACAATTCTTTTTCGCTATGGGAAATGGATCAATAATCTCGGTTTTTCAGATCGAGATAAACGATCGGTCTACCAATCAACCAATCTTATTTTCAGCAGCCGGTTCAAGCTAAGTTCATTTCCAGATATTTTTGGTAAGTGTACTGTTTATTGGAAATATGGTGTGTAATAGAATCAACCGATTGTTGAATATTCTAAGTGATGTGCCAAAGAATCGATCATGGTGGCACAGACATGACACGCTTATTTTCACTCTTCTGTATTTCCTCTTACTAGCTTCCAACTTCAAAACCTGCTTGACTTGAGTTTTGTACTTGTTGGCATTCATCAGCAAGGTGTGTCTGCAACCTCGATGGAATTGATGTCTTCCTTGAGATCTGAACTCACGTCATCCAGTGTTAGGGTGAGTGAGTGACGTCACCACTGAGCTACTCATATCGCGAACGAACTCCTCTAGGACTGGATTAGATACATTGACTGGTCACGGGAGAGCAACCAATTTTATTTTGTCTAGTCCTATGAGCTGACCGGATTCTATCGATCATTTTTACAATATGACCACCAATCTAGGAGCATCGCCTTGGGCGATGCACTTTGGTGGATGTTGGTTGTGGTCAATCGACAGGAAGCCGGGCTGCACCTTTGTTTAGTACTTGTTGGCACTCGTTAGCAAGGTGAGGACTGGTATCCCTTCTGAGAAATGTTTCATCCGACTCGGAAAGTGCCGAATGCGGTAGAGAATCCCAGTTGATGGTGATGTTTTCATTTACACCTAGGGAATAACAGGTGGCTATCGTGACTCTGTCACCGAGTAATGATATTCTGATGATGTTTTGACCAATGAGTTTCCCTTGGAGTTCCATTCGGAACACTATCACTACTGTGCGTATATCTGTATGATGATGCCGAAATGGAGAGAACGTCGACTCTAGACTATACTGGTAGCCATTCTCTAATATATGGTCAAAATATGATGTCAAACGATCCGTGTGCAAACTGAGTGGCCCAGTCCTAAAAACCTAAGATGCAGAGAAGAAACTCCAAGAAGAATGACGATCTACTATAGGAGTCAAAAAACACCTCCAATGATACTGATTAATCATAAATCCTATAGTTCCTCAGAATTACGACTGTAAACTGCGGGATGAGGCATTTAAATGCGTTGTCTATCAAATTTTCCATCTCGGCAGGAAGTCTTCTCGATGACTATGAATCATGGAGATAGCGTGTTGGGCACAATAGCCTGGATTCCTCTGCTAGTCACCAAGGTCAATATGATGTCATGAATATCCGGCACTATCAAGGCATACGCATAGGAACCCATCTGCCAACAGATGTCGAGCAATTCGGCTCTGTATAGCAACTGGAAATTACAAGTACCATGAGAACAACTATAAAACTTTTTCCAAAATGATAATTGAGATCTGACATCAATCAGCAATACAGTATTCACTTTGAATGATTTACTATTTATCAAGCCTGAAGATTTACTCCTTACAGCACTGTTTCACTGTTTCGTCTGTCAGCCTGCTGCAACACATGTACAAAGATATCTCATATTGCGACAAAATATCCCGGAACCTCTTTATATTACCGCAAAAAAGCAGGTATATTTTGTCGGGGTTTTCGCGCGTTGTCACCCCTCCCAAACTGTGTTACTGACAATATTCACCAGGCATTTATAATGAAATTGCCTGGTGGTGGAGGTTTAGATTTGTTATTCGAAGAAAGTCTTTCTGACATCTCTGCTTATTTCGATGATCATTGTCTGTAAGTGTGGTGTTCACTGTGCTTCACCAAAGTACAAGTTACTTTTGCAGAATTGGCTGGGGTCTGTGTAGGCGAATACAGTTTGGATCGATGGTTGTGTATTTGCTGTTCAGGCATATAGTAAACAGCGTTTTTCCACCGTATAGTGACTCTAATTATGGTACAGTGAGACCTACTTACAATAAGGCATATAAGCAGCACATACAGCCAAACTGAATGTTAGTGAACAGAAGCTCACTAAAGCAGCTGATGTCAGCTGTTTACGAAGTATAACTGTCATGGCAAAAAAAATACTGAACCCAACAATAAGTTATTTATTTGCAAATAATCTCTTGTTCTGCATGTCATTCCACACAGGTCTTACACTTAATATTCCAATCTAATATTGCATACTCTGTTTGCCTTATTCCGCATCAATCGATCGTTATCACTTTCAACATTGCTCTATATACTACTCAAATGGATTCTTATAAGTAGCTGTCGTTACGACAGAAAATATAACTCTAAACCATAGTTAGGGCTGCTCTTACGATTGCTTGTATTTTAAGACGCACCCATGCAGTACCTGCCTAATTAACCTCAGTTGTTTTGAATACTTGTGAAGCTGAAGGCATTTGGCAACTCCTCATGCTCACTTATCGCCTCATTCATATGATATTTCATAATCGTTAAGAACTCTGAGGTTTAATGAGATATGTTTCAAGATGAATAAGACGGCTATTGATGTCATACAGTTATCTGGTAATATCAATTTCAGTATCTCTATTTTTTGCACTGAGTACTTTCTGTTGACCCTACGACTGACTGACGGGTGAAGTGGTCATTCAATTTGGAGGTTGGTGTGGATTTATTTATTGTTTTCAAGTTAGTATCACGAGTGAATGACGTCAGTTGGTGAAACATTGAAAGCCTAGGAGCACTGAACAGCTAATTCGCCTTAGTGTGGCGCTCTTCAGTCATTCACACCTATTACCCCACCAAGGACCGAACCGAGTCCCTCTAAGTTTCGCGACCAGTGTATCACCGCAGAACCACTTAGTCAGGACTCAAGAGTCCACATTTCTCTACTTCTGTCGGTTGACGATATAACACGACCTTTAGCTAACACCATCTTTGATTATTTGTCCTCATGTCCAACTTGGTCTGCCCCACGGGTGAGGAATTGTCATTAGGACCTTGGGAATCTCATCTGGAAGCATGTCACTAGTGAGGACCAGACAGTAATTCAGTTTGAAGGCTTGTAGAGTCAACCAAGTTGGAAGAGAGGACAGTTACGCAACTACAACCCTGAATGGAGGTCACGGTATATCGCGGGCTGATAGAAGTAGGAAAATATGGATTATTGGATTATGACCTGGAGGTCCTGGGTTCGATCTTTAGTGGGTTCATAGGTGAGTATTACTGAGGAGTCCCACTCTGAGACAAAACGGCTGTGCAATCCGTCCTGGTTTTCAACGGTTTCTCGACTGATGGCAATCCATGACGAATACCAGTTTGAGACCTAAGAGGTCTCACCTGGTTAAATAATGCTATAGACTGTAAAATACAACCTACAGATTATTAATTTTAATTTTGAAAAATTGATCAGTTAAATAAATGATCAGTAATACCGTATTCATTTATCAATAAAACCATTCAGTATTCAATTTTATTTACCTTTAACCATCCCATGAGAAAGAGAAAAGAAAAGATACTAAAAATAGGAACATATAAATCCACTTTATGCTGTCCACTTTCATGACGATGCTCAACAAATTGACACGCAAATATCTGACACATGAAATAACTGTAAACAGCTATTATTACAACCTGAGGAGAAAAGAAAGAGTACGAAATCGTGTAAATTATTCCACATAGTTTGATCAATATGTGTAGGCGTATTGTTGTAGCTAGTGAAATAACCAATTACATTTCTCGATTTCAGAAAACTAGCCAGACAAAATAGTGAAGGCCGATTGGTTATTTCAGCAGTTGTTTGGGTGACCTTGGAACTCACTCTTTTTTAGGTTGGAACTTAGCTATGCTGATCATGATCATGTCTTGCTTGACTTTGAGACGCTGGACTACGGAAAGTTAATCAGATGAATGAGCCTCTCGGTGCTTGCAAATGTCGTTCAGTTATAGTTCCCACCTTCAGCTTCTATCTTTGGGCAGACAAGCGTTTCTGGTCGACTAAGTGGTCTCTTGTTTGCCGCATATATATATATATATATATATATATATATATATATATATATATATATATATATATATATATATATATATATATAACGACATACAGTAAAATAAATCCGTAGCTGGATTAATTAACTATCATGGTTTAAAACTGCTTGGCAGCCAATGATAGAAGTTTTTCCAAATCGAACTGCACGTCCTGGATTCTGCTGGTAGCCGCAAGTAGACTACAATTTAATGAGTATTTGGGTAGTGTTACGGCATTCACATAAGTGCTAATCTACCAACAGAGGTTGAGCAATTCGACCAAGCATAGCAAAGAGAAATTCCAAGTATCAATAAACAGCCAATTAAAGAATTTTTGTATATGAGTTTATTCATGACTTTTTAAAAACCGTGATGACATTGTACCAAACGACTGAAAAAGGAACTATTGAAGCCAATGAAGTAAATGAGTCATCCTGACTGGCTACCAGATTTGGATTGGAGCCCCTTTGTAGTCGGAGGTGTGCACTACTGATAAGTTTTACACCTTTATGAAGAAAAAAGACTTCAGCGGTCAGTAATTTCCATTGGTAATTCACTTCCTTGTAGGCTACCAAACTGATGGAAACTTTTTCAGCCATCATAAACCTCCGGTTCTCTACTTTTCATTAAAAGATTTTTAAATGTCCAGTAGTTGACAACTTCTCTGCCTATTTCAATGTTTGAAAATTTACTCATCAGCAGTCAAAAGTGACGAATACCTAGTTTATTCACTAATAACCATTTGGGGTTGTTGTTGTGGTAACTGATTGATTGCAAAGTAGTTTCATCAAGGATTTGCACCAACTAGGGGACTATTAAAAATCCCACAGCATTAGACAGCTGCTTTATAAGAAGCCAATCAGTGACACTGAATGACAGTTGGGCTGAAGAGATGTTAAACTGAGCAGCAGAGATTACTATAGGATAACTAAAATCGGTGGTGTTAAATATGCTACAACTTACAATAAAGTCTCCTATTAGCATCTTAGTGCTCAGAATCTCCACCAGTAGGTTATTGCCACTTCATGTTCGTTCTATGTACTATTGAAATACTTTCTAATGAGTACGGGTTCATCACTGAGCCATATACTTTGGACTCCGACTCAGAGGCTGATCGGTAGCAGGCTGGACATGAAACCTGATTGTGGTGATCTTAAATCCTCACAGATTCATAGGTGTGCAGTCCAGGTGAGTCTCGGATCTGGATGAAACAGTTGCCAAGTGCCTCAGCATCTTTACGTGCTTCTTCTGTAGTTGTCAACTAGTAAGGGAAACTACTTAGGGAAATGATTACACTAGGTGTCTAAGGTAAAAGTGATTACTAAACTGGGTTGCGTCTTGGTTCTGGTGACCTGAACACCTGCTTAAACATCTATACATCCATTTGATGGCTCTAAAGTAGAACAATATACACACAGTGGACTCGATGACTAGCCAGGATCAGACAAAAGATGTTAGAATACAGTTCTTGGTAGTATTGAGATAAACGTACCAGGAGATTTATATTCTACCTGGTTCCGTTATAAATTTTAGCGATTTTGCAGAACTGTTAGTTTTCCCTACCTGAGGTTTAACGAGGATCCAGTTAATTTAGTTTGGAACCCAAGTAATTATAACCTGATACTAGTATGTTGAAAACTGCAGTATCTGAAGTTACACTTCATGGTCATTATGGTAAGATGAACCAATCAGAGATGAGAACTGACAATGATAGTGATTGGTTAGTGTAACAGACAGATATGTGAGTCGACTTGAAGAGTGCGAAATACCTATTTTACCGGCAAGAACTTTTGTAGACTTAAAAACTTAGTTATGGCCACCTTGTTCTTCGTATGACTGACTATCTTTGGATCTGAAATGATGCTTCAGGAATGTGACAGTATTTCAACTAACTACAAGGTTAAGAAGAAAGACACCAAGATGCAGCACACTTTACTGCCCGTTACGATGAGAAACAAGAATATTCTGCAGAAATACACACTATCTGTAGCATTTCTTATGACCTTGATAAAAACGCTGATCCATGAATTCATTTTCTAGCTATAAAAATGATACCAGTAAAGAAACAGTAGATTCTCTCTAAGACGATCATATTTCCCAACACTACTCGGGTATATTCAATCAAAGGAAATAATATATATTTTACTGAAGTGGTTGGTATTAATGTTGACTTACTTGAGTATAAACCAAGGGGATCATAATACTGCTGTAAACTTGTAAATCTTGCATTTTTTGTCTGACTCTTCCAATGTTCTACAATGAAGAAGGTGGTGGTGGTGGTGTGGGGGGGGGGGGTGACGAAGAAAGAAAGAAAAGTTCGTGGAGTTAGGAATGGTCTGTGACTGCAAGCAGTTCATTCTACACAATAAGACATCATTTATATGCAGTTTTCATGAACATATAAAGCCACTAGGTCAATAGTTCAATAACTTATCTTGATTGGTCATCTGTATGGTACAACTGTTCAATAAGGTTTTTCTTGACCGTATAGTGACATGAAACAAAAGCCGACATACAAAACTTCTACCTTAGCATCTGATGACTTAAAATGTTGATTTCAATTTAGGCTGCTTCTGATCAAAAATCATCTTCAACTTTCATACATTTAATCCCTGCTATAAAGTTTTCTTAGACAAGGACAACAACTATTGGACGATGCAGGGAATTCTAGAAATGGTGGAGAATATCTCTAATCGGTATTCATTTTGCGTAAATCAGCTAGTCACAAAGCACCCATTTCAGTTTATAAAGATCAGCTGACTAGATCAAGATGCCCTTCAGCATATCATCGCGAAGAAAAGAGCAAACCAATCACGATGGAGTGACATCAACTTAATACATTCAAACGAATGAAGTCAACCAATGACTTATTTGGGAACTTCTCAAAGGAAGTTGAAGGTAAAACTTCAACCAGTCATGTTCGACATATATATATATATATACTCATCAAATGACTCAAGCAAAGTAACATATGATGAGCATGCATGCGTGGTCATTTTACCTGACTTCCTTGTGAAGCGCTGATGCCCAAATGACGACGTGTGGTACGATACTGAAACGTTTGACATCCGAAACCCAGACTAAGTAAATAACTTAATGTGAAATGAACTTATTTCACTAAGTAGCTAGTATCTCTTAAGAATGAAGAGTGTTCCTGTTTAGACAGTATCTTGAAATGTGCCAAAGAACTTGTCAGTGATACATCGAAGCTTACTTAACAGTGCTATAGGTAGACATATTTTAGAATTGGGTCACTGTGTAGACCTCAGATTCAGATTGTATCCGTCGAAGACGACTACACAGATGAAAACGCTGACAAGATGCTGAGTCTTCTGAACACTTTGAGAATGTTTGGAATGCGTTTCTCCCCACCTAAATAAAAATTCTTGCTACACGAGTAGTCCTCACTGGTGCTTTGTTTAGCAATAGGAAGTGAAATGGTTGAGAGAGTTGATCTCTTTGCTTATATAGGAAGTCGGATCAGCCTTGATGCGTCGGTCATTGATCGGCGAAACCTTCACATTGTTACAGATGGTTCACTTGACTTTCATTAACTTATGCCATCTGCGGCATCGCCGTGATGTCAAATTGTCTACTAAGAGCCGTGTATACTGCAATACAGTTAGCTCTCTTCTGCTGTATGAATGTGAAAAGTGACCATTGAAGGCAGTGTACATGAGGCGTCTTCAGGCGTTCAACTATCTTTGCCTTTGTATCAGGAGTCATGTGTCGTGTAACCCAGGTTGAGCTTTGAATTTAATGGGGGAGGGGGGGGGGGTAAGTAAGTAGATGAGGTTGTGAACCTTTATTGACTCTGATGGCTGGGAAATGTTTTACACATGCCTAGTCACAGTCTTTCCGGTAGCGTAACATTGGATGAAATAGGTTTAAGCTGGAAAACCAGATTCAAGAATGTCATCATTCCATAAAGGGTGATTTACAATAGTCAGCCAGTGATGCAGTCAGTGACTGTACCACTGAGTCGTTCACATCCTCTATCAAAAGTCCGCCAAAGTGGTGATGAGCCTTCTATTACAAAATGATCAACAGAATTCGGTCAGTACTGAGGACCAGATAGTAAGAGAACGGTTGTTCTCCAGTGACCGATCAATGTATCTAACTCACTCCTACAGGAGGTCAATCGGGACCCGAGGAGTTCAGTGGTAACGTCACTGAGTGTAACAGTCAGTGACGCGGATTCGGATCTCAGAGGGATCGTCAGTTCGTTTGACTTTGCAGATACACGTTGCTGATGAGTACCAACAAGCACGAAAGCCAGGTCAAGTGGGACTTCCTGTCAATCGCTTCCAACTAACTAACATCTATCAAAGTACACCGCAATGATGCGCCCCCTGGCTTGATGATGTAGTACAAGTTTGTCACCTGAAGTTATTCAGAGACGTTAAGTAAGATTTTCAATAAGGCTAAAATTGTGGTGGGATTCAAATCTAAAAACGTATTTACTAACGAACTTTGATTTCATCAGGAAAAGTAATTTAATTCTTCAAATCCCTTACGGCGATTGGGTGGTCAAATGTATCAGTCAAATTAGTCAACCAGGATTAACTAGGCTGATGGAGAACAGAAACTTAGCTTAATCAAGATTGGTGGAGCCTTGTAAGATATGAAATTAAGAGAAAAACTGGATCACAGCTTTGCATGTGGTTTCGTACAACCACACAATAGGATGCGACAATTTGACAGTTCTTGCTGGGGTGAAGGGGAGCTTGATAGTTAAATCTTTGTTTTTCGGATCAAAACCGAACATTTAAAACAGCCATGCTACAGCATTTGTTCGAGATATATTGAAAAGTCAACTGGTGATATCACAAAAGAGACGGGGGAGTTTTGCCTGGACATGGAAACATATCTCAAAGTTGTGGAGTTACCTGATATGAACTTGGATAATAAATTGTGTCTGACTGGTAATTCAGTCAATAAATAATACTGTTTTACTGTGATACATCTAATAAACCAATTAAATGAAACCGCAATCTATCTCAGTACGTAAGTTTTACCATTATGGACATACAGATGCTATGAGCTAACAGTACGGTTCTCGAAGGACACCGCAGTTGAGTATTTGAAAAACTACCCTCTCAGCAGAGGGAAGTGTCTAGACAGACCCTAAAATTTGTGTATAATTTACAATTTGATCACTATACTTTTAAGATATACCTTTCCATCCAAGTTAGCCAGCCAAATTCCGTTGATTTTTTTAATGATTCGTCTCCATGAGTTGATGAGCTCAAACACTGGTTCTGTGCTTAGATCACACTGGTCTAGCTAACGAAATCTACATGTCATCATGAATGGCTTCCAATAACTCGGGATATTCAATAGTATATCTTGCAACTTTATCAACTTACTTCAACTGTATAAAATGCCACTTTAGGATCGGTAATATAACCACTATCCAACGCTTTCAAAGTTAATCTTTGTGCCCATTGTATCGGTATCCAGTATTCAGGTGTATAATTGGTTTTTGTTCGACGAAACCAGTCAGCTGCTATACGTTCAAAAGATGTGATCTCTGATTCTGTGATCAATACACCAAATGAGCTTTTAACTTCTGTTCATAAGAAAAATTAAATGGAAAATAGAAAATACTGTTAAACATTGAAAATATTTCAATTGTCTTCAGTTAAATCTTCCCACTCAACTATGTTTTAAATGGCTTCAATCACGAATTGATAGCAGATGGAGAAACACTAAAAACTTGGGAGCACTGGATAGCTGTTTCCTATAAGGTTAGGACTATTCAGTAGTGAACACTCCCCTCTCTATGAATGGTCCAAACAAAGGCCAATCCGGCTACTAGATAGGCATAAGAAAGTCAATGTTTTTACCATCCCTGTCAATTTATGTTATATCATAACCATTATCCATTGCCATTGGTGAGTAACTATTTTCACTTTCAACCTGGTTGACCCTATAGGTCACAATTTCTTATTAGAACTCTAAGTAAGTTAGTGCTGAACACTGGAGAGTAATTCATCTGGTGATCTGTTGGTCTGACTTAATCTAGAGAAGTTTTCAGCACTGATAGACGTTAGCTGAAGAACCATTGAAGGCACTAATTTTGTGTTCAATCTCTCATAGAGGAGTTCAAGACTTGGACAAAACATCTTCTCAGTGTTCTTAGGTTTTAAATGTAGCTGTTTCTGGTGTCAATCCCCGGTGAAAGCCACTTTTAAACCTATTAGCCTCTTTTAAAAAACCTACGACTTTCATATTGATATCCATTCACTGGGACTGATAGCGATAAAACATTGAATTTGAACAAACTCACTTGATACTTTAAAGCAAGCATTGATATAATGAAGTATTAAGAAACTTTCGACTTGGTTAATGTTTGATAAGTTCATCAGTTTTAAAGGAAGTTCTAATCATGAAGTGCATGATATTAGCCAGAAAATTGTGAAACGGTAAAAGTATTTGATAACTGTTATACAAAGGAATAAAATTGCTCAACAGTATACACTAAATAATATTCTGCTACTCAGAACCATCATCATAATGTTTACTCTTGTTGTACATTATTTCAAACTTACGTCATTCTATGTGGTTCAGAGACTTGGCGCGTTACGAAAAGCATTTCCAACAAACTACAGATATTCATCAACAACTGCCTACGCTCATTACTGAAGCTCAATTGGTCAGAAAGAATAAGCAACAAGGAACTCTGGCTGGCTGGCAACGAACCAACCAAGAACCTACCGCTCAATAAATATGCAGAAGGAAGTGAAGATGGAAGACCATTCGGGGACATCACGTGCCAGGTCGTCGGGTGGAACCCAGATAGGAAACGATAAGTTTGGCGTTCCAGCTAAGGGTGACATGGAGGAGATGGTGCGAGGAAAAAATGAGAGCTTGTGGGCAGTTGTGGAGTGAGGTTCAAAAGATTTCAGAGAAGAGAGTGGAATGGAGACGTACTACTGAATCTCTATGTTTCACTGAGAACCCAAGGGACAAATAATAATATAATAATGTATATAAAATGTACCCATCAGGACATGAAAAAGAGCAGGTATTTCAGTGAAGAGTCTTTTTTCGACGATTTCATTTTCAAAACTGTACAATCACAAATTTACACATTCTTTTTTCTAGTGTAAAAATTTGATAGTTCAAAACGGTTTGTCAGGCATGGCACTCCTAAATCGAGTGAATTTAAATGCCACCCAAGCAACAATTGAAATAACCAATCAGACTAATCTATTTTATGAAACTTAGCCTTCCCATCCAAAATGAAGGAATCTAATTGGTTATTCTGAACATTGCTTGGGTGACCTTTAAAGTCGCCTCATAAATGAGCTGTCATTACAATTAAAAAAACCCAAAACTGATGAGTAGTGAATATTCATCAAAATAAGCTTGGACAAGAAGTTTCGTAGTAAAATGATGATACAATTGGAAACTGATTTGTGATCAAGCAGCGTAAAACAGCAAGAATGAGTAACAAATTACTTCAGAAGTGAATAGTGTCAAAACAAAAAAATGAGAAAAAGGGGTACATAGAAGAGACTTTAAATTAAAACCATGAAAGGAAAAGCGGTTAAACAATCTTCTTTTACTCACACAGTTCAGGTTTCTCCATATGGATGGCAAAAGCTTCAGCAATGCACAGAATACGAGGACATACAGCCTCTGGAAGGATTCTTTTCACTTTATAGATGACTTTGAACGAGGAGGTTCTTGAGATGGAATGATTCGTGTTCACGATGTGTTCAATTATAGAGATCCTTATTCCTCCACCGTTACCCGTTTGCAACCACACAGAACGGTGTTCTTGGAAAGCAGTCCCATCGAACGACCTACATACCAGGCTCCAAAACATCAGTTGGATTGATATATACACAGAGAAGTGGTGATGTGTGAAAGTTTCTCCTTTGAGTCTTTAGAAATCGTTGGGTGACAAAAGAATACTAGTCTTAGCGTTGATGGAAACGAATATTCTCCTTAGAGCGTTTGATATCCTCTTTTTCGGTGTCAGTGGCAGAATCACCTTTGAAGTTGAGATTCGTATAGAGTATGTTTCCATCTTCTAACACATCGGGGCTACAAATTCGTCTAATGAAAGTGGCAAGAGATGTGAGCAGATTTCGTTTACGACTACTAGGGACCCAGCTATAAAAGTTCGTGAGTTTACTATTCCGTATTGGTTTTCTGTGAGTTGATCTACTCAACGTTCTATTAGCTTTTCTTGTCAGCTCTACATCAAGAAAGTGAATTTTGGATCGATTTTTGACGTCAAGAGTGAAACTAACCGTTGAATGGCAGTTATTGAATATTTGTAGAACATGATTCAAATCATATTGATGATCACAGATAATAAAAGTATCGTCCACGTACCTTTTGTACAGTTGAAAACCTTCAGTCATTGATTTAAAGGGTCCATTCTCAAAAATGGATATAAAACAGTCTGCTAGTTCATGTTTTCTTTTGTTGTTACTTCATCCTCAACTTGAGAGTTTATTCTTTTCAATAGAATCTTGTTCATCATTTAACAACATCCCTATCACCTTTCCCGGTTTATGACGGTGTTGGGGTTCCTTTTGTTGTTCCTTGATGTGCTATATTTTCTTGTGTCTTTACTTCATCATAGGAACTCATGTACATCTTTTATCTTCCCTTCTGGTTTACCTTTGACATAACCTTTCTGTTGTAGTGTTGATGAACTATCTGAAAGGTGTTTTGACAGCATTAAACCCACAGATAATTCATAATTCAAGGTTTGTAATTAAAGATTCACTTTAGCTTATTCATATAGAACCGTATTTTAGACAAATCTTGTGTTTCGGATTTTACACGTGACCTGAGCTTTTAGTTTGCTGCTGGAGAACTGCTTTGGGTTCTAATTTCTTGGAAAGAAATTCACATGCACATTTAAGAAAAGTACAGTTGAGGAACTACTGCTTTAGTAAAAATGTCTCTTCAATAGTCGTTGATTTACAATTTGCTTATAGGTGATGTCATTCCATGATGAAGGCTATCTTCAAATCAGTGTGAATACATACTTGGCATGGATCTGAAATATGCATGCTTTTCATAGAACAGATGAATATTGAGCCACTAATTTTTATTATGCGTATGCTATACTACTAACAAAATTTAAGTAGACAAAACCATCTCTTGAAAATATCATGTATGTTGTGGAGAACAGGAAATCAGTATTCTATTAGATAATTTCACGTAAGATTTGTTTATTTGATATAACACACAGCGATACAGTATTCTTAACTTGATGATGACGTTTTGAGCATAAATTATTGCTCATGATTACATCAATGTGATCACAAAAATTTAGACTTCTGATTTTTATAGTCCTATCACCTCATATTCTTTTATAGACTTTAGGATTATAATTTGACCTGATAGTGTTGAATAAGTAGAGGATTAGATAAATATATTATCAGCTACATATTTCTGTAAAATTTGCTTCGTCGCATCTTTCTCTGAAAAAGTGATTTCCATAAAGTCATAAGACATCAGAAATTTATTTTATAACTCATTGGGATTTTACACATACATATATTTCACTCATATTCTTTGTTCTTAGTGGTAAGGAAATTTTCCATATCTATGGTATAGGTGTTACGTCATTCCTATTACATGTGTTGGGTGTTAATTAAATGAACAAAGATTCAGTAATCCCTCTCTCTCCTTTCACCTAATTATATTGGACTTAAGTATAGTGGCTTTATCCCACCCTATTGTCTGGTTGTGTGTTAATCCATACGATTCAATAGCCGAGTACTTTTCTAGATTATTGATCTTCTTCGGGTCTGTCATTCTATTTTAGCTATATTCCTATGTTCCGTCATTTTAATTAGTTTCACCTATGTACTTGACCTGACTCAAAGTCATTACATGGAATTTGATAGGTTACATTATTTTGATCAATTGGTTCTATCGGAGCCTTAAGCCAGCTGACAAAGCTTATCTGTGAGTGAGTTTGTAGGTTTATGTGTCACCCTAATTCCGGCTTCGTTGAGGATCCTACATGAAGTTTTTGATGTGCTTTCCTTGTAGGGTAACACAATAGAGGCTCTGAACTCCTTTCTACTTGTGTTGTCGTTATTATTTGTACTAGTGTTACTGTTATCTTTTCATTTCTTGTGTGTTCGTACGAATTTCTTGATAAGCGGTAGAGGATAACTGTTAATTATCAGTGTTTCTTTTACGTGTTTCAGTTTTCTCTTTAGGTCCTTGCACTGACTAACCAGTTTTCTAGCTTTATCATTTAGACATTTGACCAAGCCTGCCTTAACTGATATTGGATGGGATGATTTGAAGTCTAGATACCTGTTGGAATGTGTTGGTTTCTTGTAGACAGTAGTATCCAAACCACCGTCTGTTCTTCGTTTTATCTTCCAATCCAACATAGGTAATTCTTCTTTTTCATTTTCTACCTCCTAAGAGAGTTGGATTGTGCCTACTATTGAGTTTATATGTATGAGGAAATTGTCGATATGTTCTGATTTCAATAGAGTAAATGTGTCATCCAAACATCGCCACCATAACATAGGTGCAGGATTAACCATTTGTAAAGCCACGTTTTCCCAACTATCCATAAATATATGTGCTACGAATGGGGATATTGGAGATCCTATTGCTACTGCTTCTGTTTGTCATCAAGTGAATACTACTATATCACTGTATATTATAAATCAAATACACAAATCTAATATGGAATTAAATTGTACCACAGTGTTCAAGTTTTACACCTATATTTATTTTATACAATTTGGAGGTTTTGGGGGATTCGTTTATTGATTTCTGGAAACCTAAGAGCACTGGACAGCTGTTATGTCCTAATACAGGACTTCTCAGCAGTTATTTGAACCCAGCACACCATAACGTATTACGAAATTAATCATGACTAAGGGATTTCATATGTATATCTTTCAAAACATACTGAGGAAATGGTACACCGATTTCACTTACTTTGATCTTGATTGAATGCTCTAAATGTCTCTCTTAGCTCGACAACATCAGCTGCTTCAAATGCATCTGGCAGTGCACCACATTCTTCATCTATTGCCAATGGTGCTAAAGGTGTATGAACATCTGAAGTATTCGGTGTTTGTGGACCACCAAATATGCTATTGTTATTACTGTAATTATTCACTGGACTATCCAATTTTGTTTGAGGTTGAAATGATGTCTGAGATAATTGCTGTTGAAGTATTGATTTTGATGGAAGTGGTCGAGCTACTTCATTAGCATCAATTGACCAAGGTTGACATGTATTCCTACTGATTAAATGTTTATGATTTGTTGATTTACGCTTTGGTAATACAGGTCCTAATGCACTTGGTACACTGCCCGTTTCATCATTTTTCACAAAACGACAAGCAATTTGATCTGAGATTCGCTTCATCATAAGTACCCAGGCTAAATTCATGTAGCGCATTATTGTTAAACGAATTTTTCTTGAACCCTCTTCATTTTTTCCATTAATGCTGGCCTTTTTTAAAAAAAAATTGAAAGGATGCGAATAAGTGAAATGACAGAAAAAAAATATTTGCATAACCCGTTTTTAAAATGCCCAAACTACCATCCTGTTTGTGGATATTTCTAGTATACGATGGAGACTAGTAATCTGTCCTTGACCTTGGTGTTTTATCACTATGGTCCTGAAACTTAAACAGTGACTTACACTGAGGAGATTTACCCAAGTTCTAATGAAAAGTCGTGACGGGTAGATTCATCCAAGTTGGACGTGAGGATAAGTATTCAACGATGGCACTGAAAAAAGGTCACGCTATATCGCGAACTGACAGAAGTAGGAAAAAGTGGACCAGTAAGTCTTGACACACATATAGAAAACGGAGTTCCTGGGTTTGGCTTCTTTCAAGCTCGTGGGTGCTTGGTGCTGAGGGGCTTTATTCTTGGATGGAACAGCTATACAGTGATGTCATGTTTTCAATGGTTCTCCAACACTGATGTTAATCAAATTGAAATCATTAAATAAACTCCATGAACCTCCGAAGTGGAGTATAATGAGTAAGGTGAAACTCACTACAAAGTTATTCAGACTGAATAACCTTAATTATCGTTCAACTAAAAGAATGCCCAGCTTGTTTCTACGTTACGTTGTGGAGAGGACGAGGTGACGGTAGTTCCTCCCTTTCGCACAATTCAACTTAAAAGGCATCTATTCAAGTTGTTTCTTTAATACAGGCGTAGAATCACATAAGGATTCGTCATAAAGTACTTGTAAGTAGAGTGTCAGTCTGACAGTATCTAAACAATAAGGCCTATGTCTAAAGTCGACGGAAGTCTCACCTTTATGCTCAATGTGACAATTGTTATATTCCTGAGTTAACTTATTCACCAATTTACCATAACTTTGTCTGGCTTCAGTCGACTTAATCCCGTGATTCTGCCAATTCAGTCTTTACACTGATTCTACACGTGATTAGTTTGGAATATACCTGCCCAGTCAAACTCGTACACTCAACCCACCTATAAAATATATCCACCCTATTCGGCCTCCTCCTGCATCCACGTACAACATGACACAAGTCTGGTCCTTATTGTCCGTATGCAATTTCAGGGTTCTGATTCATCTGCATATATACAACTAAATTACTTGACCACAACGCACCATAATTTACCAAGAAGAAACAACCAATCAATTTCGTGTAGAAAAAGTGAGATAATATACAATAATGGATTTCATTCAGCAAGCAGTGATTATTTTCGAACTATAGGTCATAAAGAAATGATTAAGGCATCAATCTAAAGCGTTTGAACTGAGCTATCCAATAATGTTATCAGTCAGGTCATAAGTGGTCATAAGTGACCAATCACACTTGTTAGGGAAACCTAGTTAGCAAAGAGGAGAAACAAACGAGACAATGGGCTGATCACTCCAGAAAACTCTTGAATCGACCACCACCACCACCTGCACTTCGTCCAGAAATACCACCAGCAGCGCGGCCCCAGAATTACCAGCGAACACAAGCCCTCCGACAAAAGCCGAAGTCCTGAACGCCATAAAACTGCTAAAATGCGGGAAAGCAGCAGGACCAGATGGAATTCCACCAGAAGCACTGAAAACGGATGCAGAGACAACAGCGGACATGCTCACACAACTACTGCAGAAGGTTTTCAAGGAAGGAAAAGTACCTGCCGACTGACTGGAAGAAGGACCACGTTGTAAAATTCCTAAACAAGGATTACCTAATTCTTTGCAAGAACTGGCAAGGAATCATGCTGTTGTCCACCCCAAACAAAATATTACGCCGCACCAACCTGAAGAAACTGAAGAATGCGCTGGATTCAAAATTACGACCGGAACAGGATGGCTGGCTGGCTTCAGGAAGAACAAATCATGTGAGGATCATATTGCAACGCTGCGTTACGCATCATCATAGAACAAAGCATAGAATAGCACTCAACTCTCCACCTCAACTTCATCGACTTTGAAAAGGCTTTTGATAGCGTCGACCGAGCAGTAATTTCTCAGGCAGCTGCTTCAACACTATGGAGTGCCACAAACCTTTATCAACCTCATTCAACAGCTATGTGCTATATGATGCTACATGCCAAGCGATTCACAATAGAAAGCTCGGTGATGCCTTTGAAGTGAAGACAGGAGTAGGACAAGGCTGTCTACTATCACCGATCATCTTCTTGATTGTGGTGGGCTGGACTGGTTCATGCAAGAAACTGCGAGAAGCGAGTAGATGGGCATATATTGGCTGGACCGATGAAAAGACCACAGAAGAAGATTTGGATTTCACCGATGATGATTTATGTCTAATGTCTTGTCGCACAAACTCCAAGATCTGTAGGCAAAACCAGCAAATTGACAGAAGAGGCAACGAAGATGGGCTGCACTCAGCATAAAAAACAAGATCCGGATTTTCAACACTAATGTCAGTCAATTAAATCCTTCTATATGGTTCAGAAACTTGGCACGTTAGGAAAAGCATTTCCAACAAACTACAGACATCAACACCTGCCGCACATGCTTACTCGATACTGAAGATCTGATGGTCAGAATAATAAGAATAATCAACAAGGAACTCTAGCTGGCTGGCAATGAACCAACCAAGAACCTATCACTGAACAAATATGCACTGGAAGGAAGTGGAGATGGATTGGATTGGGCATACACTGAGAAGGCTGACTGGGGACATCACGTGTCAGGCCAGTTGCTCGAGTGGAACCCAGATGAGAAACGACGAGTTGGGCGTCGAAGGCGAGGGTGACATGGAGAAGATGGTGTGAGGAAGAAATGAGAGCTTCTGGGCTGTCGTGGAGCCACGTTCAAAAGACTGTAGAGAGCAGAGCGCATCGGAGACGTGGTACTTAAGCCGTATGTTCCACTAAGAACCCAAAGGACAAATAATAATAATAATGACACTTTTTATGAGATACACATTTTTGACTTTTCGGTTAACATGACACAAATGAAAACGACAGGCAAACGGAAGTGAGTAACACGTTAGATTTATTATCTTCCAATAACTATCCTAAAAATGTCATTCAAAAGCTTCAGAAACTTGAGCAGAGGAACTCAAAATGAAGTTCAAATGATTTTTGTTTTGTATTAGCACATAGTTCTACCATTCCATCAAAGTAAAACTGAAGAGTTACAAAGAATCTTAAGAAGGCACCGAATTAGGACCTTTTAAAAGACAACCAACACTTTCAGGAATGCTCTAGGTCACGTAAGAGATACAATCCATTTCACCTCCACATAGATTAGGCTGTGTCGATTGTAATGCCTATTATATATTGGGGAGTCATCCCATTCAAGTTACACAAAACGACAGCTAAATAAGCCTGCAGAACTAGAGAATCTACAAATCAAGTCTGTAATCACAGTTCGTACCGTCATCTATCACAGTCACAAAATCGATACTGAAAATATCTAAAATTATTCAACAAGGTTTTTCAAACCATCAAAGAAAAAAAGAATAGATGAGGTTTTCACATTATGTTGAAACCTAATGTACTCAACATAGAAAGGAAGGCCTGACTATCCAACCAACCTGGATAGTATCTGCCATAACAACATGATAATAAAATGACTAGAATAAAAGTACATACACATACATAAGAACCGAATTTGTCATCCATAATGTTTTTCTTATACTTTCATACCTAGTCACATCATCTTGATCTCCGGGCTAATTGTGAACGCCTCCTAACGAGTAACTTTAATGCTTATCCTAGCAACTGATGAAACAACCAATCACATTTCTCTATTCTATGAAAAATAGTCTACGCAGACAAAATACTGCAACCTGATTGGTTGTTTTGTCAGTTGTTAGGATGGCCTTTAAAGTTGAACCTACCTTACCAGCATAACAATAACATTCATATTTATTGTCATACGCAGACAGTATGATCTGATTCGTCACCATTTACTATTTAAATAATCGATAAATTGCACAGGTTTTATTATCTGAAGAAGCGATTTTCACGAAGTCCCAAAACGTCGGAAATTTATTTTTCTACTTCATTGGGATTTCACAAACACATTTCATTTATTCTACCTGGTGGTTTATCAGTCGATTTAAGGTTGTAATTCATCATGGACTGACACCAGTTGGAGGAACATTGGAAGCCTGGGAGCACTAGACGACTGTTTCGTCCTGGCATGGGACTCCTCAACAGTGCGTACCCATGACCCCGCCAGGTATCGAACCCAGGACCTTCAGGTTCCGTGGCCAGCACGTTGCAGTTGACCCACTGGGTCGCAATTCAGTGTTCCACATTTTTTACTTCTGTCAGTTCACAACACACAGCGACCTACTTTAATAGAGTACATGTGTGTGTGTGTGTTAGACAAACAAATAGGTATACAGTAGTAGACTTACAGCTATTTGAAGTGCTATTTGATTCATCCATGGTATATACAAATACATTTGATACCAACGTGATATTATTCCGGATACAAAAAACCCAAGTAGAAAGGATATCGGAATATCTCCTTTGGTTCTTTCACAGAAGTCAACGATTTCCTCGAAAATTCTTGACAAAAAAAATTAGTAACAATTGAAATACTTGAAAATAATAAGTAGATAGATAAGTTATCTATTTGCCAGATAATACTTATCATCTTGTATTGATTCCCATCAAATCGACGGTTTATGAGAGTAGGTTGGTCTTAAGGCCCATTTTCATCATGGATACCTGTTGTTTGCCCAAGATCAGGACTCTTCTTCGATGCTTACCCACAGATCATTGAAGAAGTGTAACAGGAAATACCTACTAGAGGCATTAGATGATGGTTAATTGGATTCCAGCACAGGGGGTTGGTAAAGACGTGCTTACCACGACAACTGACGGTTTTGATCTCTGTCTCACGAAGTAATGAGTATTGCTCACTCCTGCGGTTTATCAGGGAATAGACTGACTCAATTAGTAATGAATAGCTGAAGTAAAGAACATCTCAACCTCGAACACCTAAGTAGTACTTACTCTGAAGTCTTCACCAGTTAGCGACTTTGTAGGTCGGGTCTTGTGTACAACTAGAACTACCTTTGAGAAATTTCGAAATCTTGTAGATCTCAGCGAGTCTCTAACCAATACCAGTTTGCAGAGCGATCTGATTGGTTGCTAGGATATCAACCAATCGAAAAGTCATAAAGTGCCCATTGGTTACTGGTTTACAGAATGTATTCTCAATGCTTGAATAGTAACTCATTGGAAGACAGGGCTGATCACAAGTTGAGATCCGCTATACAACAAGAATGGTCTGAAGAAAATAAACAGAAAAGTTACATAGTATAGATTGCTGACTGACCTGAGGAGTTAGAAGCTGATCTAATTCATACGCACCGTCCAGAAACCAGACCCAAGTGAGTTAGGAAACTGGTGTCTATCTCATTCGTTCATAGTGGAGCTTACTGGTCGTCAATTGTGACTGATTCAGAAGGGTTGACAGAAGTGTTTAAATCATACTATAACTATCCATGCACCTAACGTAGTTACAGTGAAAACCAAAAACTAAGAGTTGTATCCCATTAGTAATGAAGAGTTTAAACCACTGAAGGGTTCCAACTTAGGACGAAGCAGATATCCAACTTCAAGTCGTGTAAATGTCTTGTTGACTTCATTCTTGTCATGATGTTAAATGTATGGTGAAGTTCAGCGTTTCTCTATTTCATTCAGTCAGAAAATCATAATCAAATCAAAACTGACAGAAGTCTCAAATGGTTTACTTAGTTACTTCAAAAACAACTTTGAAAAATATCAAAAAAAAATAGTAAAATTCATTAAAATCTGCCAAAAAATTCTTTTACTAATACATTTAAATTAAAATAAGGATAACTACTTACATTTTTTGTTTTTCATTCATTGCAAATCGATAGGATAAATTTAGAACGTAATATGCTGATATATAGATCAATAAATCGACCCATACCAGTTTGTATAAACTTCCTTTCCACCTGGAATCAATTCATATAATAAAGTTTTCAATTAGTTCAACAAGAATAGTTTTGTTTAAGTAAAATTGCTCATTCTTTTTAGTGAAATTAATCAGTCTCGTTATTATTATTATTATTATTATTATTATTATTATTAATCCCTTGGGTTCCTAGTGGAACATAGGGCTTCAGTAGCACACCTCCAGTGACCTCTGTTCTCTGAGATCTTTAGAACCTGGCTCCACAACAGCCCAGAAGCTCTCATTTCCTCCTCGCACCATCTCCTCCATGTCACCCTCGACACCGACATCCAACTCATCGCTTCCCATGGGGATTCCACTCGAGCAATTGAAAAAGCCTGACACGTGATGTCCTCAGTCGGCCTTCTCAGTGTATGCCCAATCCATCTCCACTTCCTTCCAAAACATATTTGTTGAGCGATAGGTTCTTGCTTCGTTGGTTCGTTCAAAACCAGAGCTCCTTGTTGCTTATTCTTATTGTTCTGGCAATCCATCTGATCTTCAGTAGCGAGTGAGCGTAAGCAGTTGTTGATGAATGTCTGTAGTTTATTGGAAATCCCTTTCGTGACGCGCCAAGTCTCTGAGCCATAAAACTGAAGCACTGACTTGACTGAGTTGGTGTTGAAAATCGGGATCTTGTTCCACATGCTGAAAAAAGTGCAGAAGATCTCCACACTGGTTCCAGGTTAATCAACGCCTGTCTTGCTTTTCAGATTCTGACTTTGACATCCTCGTCTGTCCCTGTGTCACCTGTAGTTGAAAAAGTGCTTCCTAGATAGGTGAAGGAGGTTACTTCCTTTAAGTTTCTCCCGTTGATGGTGATTGGAGTTTGTTGTAAAAAAAAAAAAATGATGGTGGTGGTGCGGTATCTTCATCACCTCTGTCTTCTGTACATTCACCTGAAGTCCCGTCTTCGCTGCCTCTTCTGTCAACTTGTTAGTTTTTGCCTGTAGATCTTCAAGTTTACGTGACATCAGGCACAAGAAATCATCGACGAAATCCAGATCTTCTAGGTTCCTTTCCGCAGTCTAGTGTATCCCCCTCTTCTCGCTGCCCACTGTTTGCTGCATGATCCAGTTGACCACAATCAGGAATATCATGGGTGATAGTAGGCAACCTTGTTTCACTCCTGTCTTCACTTCAAAATCATCACTGAGCTTCCCATTGTGAATTACTTGGCATGTGGCATCTTCATATAGTTGTTGAATGAGGCGGAGAAGGGTTGGCGGTACTCCGTAGTAGTGAAGCAGCTTCCAAATTACCTCTCGGTCGACGCTGTCAAAGGCCTTCTCAAAGTCGATGAAGTTGAGGTAGAGAGCTGATTGCCATTCTATGCTCTGTTCTATGATGATGCGAAGCGTTGCAATTTGGTCGGCACATGATTTGTACTTCCTGAAAAAAGCCTATTCCGGTCGTAGTCTTGAATCCAGTGCATCCTTTAGCCTCTCCAAGATGATGCGGTCTAATATTTTGCTTGGGGTGGATAGTAGAGTGATTCCGCGCCAGTTCTTGCAAACACTGAGGTCTCCCTTCTTCGGCAGTTTGACAAGGTAACCCTTCTTCCAATCGCCAGGTACCTTCTCTTCCTTCCACAACTTCTGCAATAGTGGTGTGAGCATGTCCGCTGTTGTCTCTGCATCTGTTCTCAGTGCTTCTGGCGGGATTCCATCTGGTCCTGCTGCTTTCCTGCATTTCAGTAGCTTAATGGCGCTCAGGACTTCCATTTTTGTTGGAGAATTTATTTTCACTTGTATTTTTGTGGCTGTAGGTGGTATTTCTGGACGAAGTATAGGTAAAAAAAAAGGTGGTCGATTCAAGAGCTTTTCAAAGTGGTCGGCCCATCGTTTCCTTTGTTTCTCTTCTTTCGTAATTAAATTTCTGTCATCATCTTTTATTGGCTTCGTCTGTGTTGTTGTCTTCCCAGATAGTAACCTGGTTATTTGATACAATGTTGTCAGGTCTCTGTCTCCCCCACCTGCAGCCTGTTCTGCTTCACTTGCCAGTGTTTCGTAGAAGTGTCTTTTGTCTTTCCGTGCACTCTTCTTCACTTCTTTCTTCATTGTTTTATACATTGTACTCAGTTCCTCATGTCGTTGCGCATCCTTGCACTGGTTTATCTTCTGTTTCACCATCCTCCTCTCCTCGATCAGCTTCCATGTATCCATCGAGATCCATTCCTTATCTTCTTTTTTCTTCCTTCCTAATAAGGTTGTGCGGGTTTCTTTCCACACCTCTTTCAAAGACTTCCAGTGTTCTTCCACACAGGTTTCTTCAGGGATGTTCCTCGATATCTCCCATTTTGTCTTGATGGCTGGCTTGAAGATTTCCTTTGAAGTTTCACCCTCCAGTTTCTGGATGTTGTGCTTGAACTGCGGTCTATCACCAGTTTCCCTGAAGGCTTTTATCTAGATTTGGAAGGTTGCTTGAACCAGATAGTGGTCTGAACCTATATCTGCTCCTCTTCTTGACCTTGTGTCAAGTAGACTGCCTCTCCACTTTCTTGAGATTGAGATAAAGTCGATCTGATTTTTAGTGTGTTCTGGTGTCTGGTGAAATCCATGTCGCTTTGTGGAAATCCTTGTGCCTGAACACACTGCCTCCAATCACCAAATTGTTGATTGCACAGAATTCTGCAAACAATTCTCCATTCTCGTTCATCTCACCGAGTGCTTCTCGACCCATGGTTAGTTCTCTTCCTGTGTTGTCCCCTCCCAGTTTGGCATTCATGTCACCCATTAGAATTTTGATATCGCCAACTGATGTCTTGTCCAGTGTTGATTGAAGTTGTCTGTGGAATTCCTCCTTTTTCTCTTGCTCTGCATTAAGTTTTGTTGCAGGAAACGAATTTAACTACTTTTTTAACTAGATAAGTAGTAAAGTTCAAATATTCTACAAATTTTGAAAGTTCAGCATATCTTATTGCCTAAGATTTCTAGTAATTACGGAAAAAGCACCATTTTTAACACATTTCTTTTCATCTATTAAGTGATGATGCCATGACCAGTGTTGACAAGGTGTTTTATTATTTTTCTTCTGAGGAATTCACTGGCGTCTCTTTTCAGCCAGCCAGAATAATGTTCACTAACCTATTTGGAAAGAATGCACATCGAACGAACTCTCAGGAAACATTGGACGACTAGAGGATAGAATCCTCAAGACTGGCTCAGAGAAAGTTTCCTCTAACGAGTTTGAAGATCTTCTTTTCAAGATATCAGCGGTAAAGTCACCCCTGAAGTCAAGATTCCTGTATAATATCTTCTTTTGAACTAAAATGTGTATTTTTCTTTCGTTTGGGTCCTTCTGGATATCCGTTTTCCTCCAGAACCCTTTTGAGAGGCACGAGTTCTTCTGATAGGCTATCACTGTTTCAGATTCATTGAATATCTTGGGCAAGGGACAATATAAGTGTTCTCTTTTTTCTTCGACTTATAGGTATCCAACTGCAGAAATTCATTAACTGACCATTCCATTCAGCTCTACCCAATGTTCAATCATCACTTCATGTGTACAAAAAAACCTGCTCAACCTTTTTCGCTACTTTGTACTTAGCAAAGTGAAACGATTGCCTAGTACGGCTTGTACTTCGATTAACGTTGAGTATATGTCAGTTTCGAGTGGAAACTGTCCTTAGATACACTATCAACCTTAAGAGTTTCCCTCATCAGTCAACAGAAATAAAAAGTCAGCGTATAGACAAGTTATACCTAGGCGTTTAACATTTACCCTCACCTCATACCATTATCTCTAGTTTATATCCCCACTTCTTATTTGATTTTTACGATAATCTTTACTGTAGATGGTTAAAAACAATGTCTCATAAAGTTCTTATATGGAGTTTCATATTTAAAACTCATATAAAATAGTCAATGGACAGGTAGAAACAAGGTAGAACGTGACATAAATGAGTTTTTGTCCTAGGAGGTACAATCCATACATCAAGTGAAATTCCATAAAAAGATAGCCATAAAAATGAAAATATGGGCATCAGAAGTGCTCATAAACTAGATGAAGGGGCAATGAGATCAGTCGAAAAAAATTATGGAGATTTAAATTAAGATAAGACAAATTCATCGCATCAAGGGTAGAACTAAGCCTTAGTGACAGCCAATCACATTGAAGCAACCATTGACCAATCAAAATAAAGTAAAAGAAGGACAACTTAAGAAAATGTTATTTTATTTACAACTTAATACATGCTTCATAGCAGCAATAAACATATCTAGATTTTAACTAGGTTTGTCATTTTAGAAATCATACCACTAATTGTATTACCACTCATCCATATGAGATCATAACATATTCCATCGAGATCCTGCTGAAGGTCTAAGGGAACTTTTAAGATGACTTTACACAGTTTCAGCCTTGTTTGTATGCACTCCAGTTATCCGATCAACACTGCTTCTTGTGAACATTACTTGATGGAGGCAACTCATCGGAGATAGTAGATCTATGTATAATGCGGTACACAATGGTACCCATTTTTATACCACTGGTGGAAAAGATTTTCCTGATCTATCCTTTATACGCTAAAGGTATCCTTTCTTCGCATTTCGGTATTATGTACCAAGAACCTGTGACTTGTCGAAACATATGTATGCAACTTACCCAGTCTCATCTCAGTCATCTTCCTTACGTTTCTGAACAAGAAATTCATCTATTTCAACCACTTCACCTACTTGATCAAACTTAACAGCCAAGCTGCATATTATTTTGAAACAAACATCTCTGGAGTGCTGACGCCACTACACTGAAGAAATTCTATCAACGTCTGTCAGAGCTTCTGCTGATATTGTAGGTGTTCCAACAACCCAATGTATTACTTAATTCAATATTTATTGGAGAGTTAGATGCGAGGAACCCCACAACATAATCTTTGTCATAATTCATCAAAAGTTTGTGCCACATCAAAAATATGATGGACAAACGTGAAAAATAACCCTGAATACACTATCCACAATCCGATTGGTAATGGTCAAGGTTTTCGGTCACTAAAGTTTAGTT